GCAGGAATTTGACTTCGGTACAGCGGCTTTCAATGTGCATGCACAGTGTTCTTCAATAAGGCAATGAGTAAACAAGATAAAACTGAGAGAACAAGAAAAGAAAACTAATGTGCATTAGAAAAATTAAGAATAAAAACAAAGTACTTATAAATATAGAAATATATAGGTATACACACGGTTTAGATGCAGTTTAGGGGGGGGGGGTTGTTGTTTATTTAGTGGTTATGTTTTTATATGGTTTTATTTCATATGTTGTGTTTTTTTATTGCTGCACTGACTGGTGGTCACTTTAAAATTTAGTTGTGCATGTTACAATGACAATAAAGGATTATCTATCGTTGGTCCAACACTTTGGTCCAATCAGAGTGGAAGTGGCTGACGTAGTGTCCTCAGGGTGACCTCAGTGTGGCATCAATAATGAGGGTTGCCAGGTTGGAAAATTAGAAGGTGATCTATGATTTATCATCAGATTTTGACAAACTGAACATTTAATAGCAGTGTACTCACTGTGCATACATTTTTTACATGATTTTGCTCAAGTTTTCCACCACTGCGTCTGGTGGTCATTGTACAATCAACCCACTGCATCTGGTGGTCATTGTACAATCAATATATAGAGAACTATAGTTTCATGTAATTTACTGTATGACCCGAGGAGCTATCTAATATGACATGGCACAGCCCCTAGAGTGGATCACGTCATTTAGACTCCCTAACGTGAGCCCTGCAGCTTGGAGCGGGTGACAGCAACGCACACACTGATTTGACCTGTGGTAACATCATCATATGCAAGGTACTTTTTCGGCCCATTTATCATGGCTCATAAGCTGCATTCATGCATTGTTTTGTAGACTATTTATTGGGAGTGGATTTATCTGTCATTAATTCCCAAGGACCGTCTGGAGCCTGGGAGGGTGTTGATGAGAGAGAGGCTACTGAACTGAATGGGCTAAGCCAAGCTGGGCAGGGCTCACGTTATTACGAGAAAATACAGCATGTTGTTATTATGACAAAATAGTCCACAGTATGTCATTATAACCAGGAAATACAGTATGTCGTAATAACTTGAAAAAAAAAAACGTTTTAATGTGAAAGTAGTTCATAAGAACGAGCAAAGTATGTCATTATAATGAGAAAGGTGTCTTGTTAAAACAAGATTTACTGTAGCTGCTGCTGGGTTGTCAAATACACAATAATCTGAAAAAAACGTAGAAAAAAAAATCAACTGGACTTGGTTTTAGGTCGGTAACTGATGAAGCCTTCGACCTAAAACCAAGTCAAGTTTCTAAGTTTTTTGCAGCTTACTATGACCTGGATGACTGAGAATCTGCATGGACATAATACACAATAATATGTCATCATTTATTTGGCAGTTAATCTGTATTAATAGCCTGAATGTGTAATCAATAACAGATAAATCCCAGGAGAGGCTGAACTAATATAAATATATTGTGAGATTACACAGTTTCTCAGAATAGTTGATGTTTGTGTGGACTCACCAGTAAACCAGTTGGACTGATCAGACTCTGGTTTCCTCCCAGGCCTGCAGCGCTGTCTCAGCAAACACTGGAGACGTACTAACAGAAGGTTTGGCTGTGAGTGTCCTGGAGCCTGCAGTTTATGGAGCAGTGCACTGGTCTGACCTCTTTCATACAGAGGCCATGAGAGATCTGCCACTCATCAGGTGTGATCAGAACCTAATCAGAATATAACAAGAGCAGAGAACAACAATAATATAAAATATTAAGAATAATATACAAATAAAATATAGAATAAATATTCTAAATATTCAACAGATTTCCCATCCCCCAACACTGTCACTCACGACCAGAAATCAAGACTAAACCAATTCACCATGTATTACCTATTTTTATTAGCCATTTCACACAATTTGGAGAAAACAAAAATGTACAAATTATAGGTCTGTTTATAATATTATGAATGAAATGTGCGTTATTTGGAAGGAAGTCAAGGTGTCACTGACTTAGTTTAGCCTACTAAGTGGATCCCCCCGCCCCTTTGTCTGCTCCATTTAGGAGAGGTGAACTCTCCTCCTGCGCCCCCTCCCCTTCCCTTTCCACCTCTCACACAGCTTCTGTGCACGACACCTTCTCATCAACCAGGGGCGCCACATATGATAGATAATAGAAAACCACTTAGCGGTTCTGATTATTTTACACTTTGTTACACTCCTGACTACACTTAATTGCATACACCACATCACTCTGTTTATGTCTGGGTGTTTTGTCCTTCAGGTGGACCAGTCTCTGGTGTTCCCTGGTTTAAAGTTAACTGGGATATTGTGGTTGTGAAATATCCTTTTTAACTTCTCTGATAAACCAGCCACATAAGGGATGCGCCTGCGCCCCCTCCCCTCCCCTTTGATATGATGATAGGACATGATATGACTTAGAGTTCACAGTCATGTAAACATAAGGTGTTTTTCAAAAGTAACAAATATCTAAACGTTAACTTCCTCACCTCAAAAAGTGTCATAATATTTGATGAGCGTGAGTAAAAGCAAGAAAATAATGTTTTGGATCGCTGACAGCATATAAAGTCAGATATATGCCAGCTCCCAGAAGTGAAACCATCAAGTCATCAAGCTGATTGCAGTATCTCCCCCCGGTTCTGTGTGTTTTTAATAAGTTATTTGATTGTATAAAGGGGTGTGACTTCTACATAGTAGCAGGAAGTGGTGAAATGCTGCCATTTTTGTCTGTGATTTGATCATATTCTTCTGCAAACTTGCGATATTTTAGCCAATAAACTAAACAGCTAACTACTGTAAAATCACCATTTGAAGGACTGAGAGCAGATTACTGTTCTGTGTGTAACAACATGACTTGAAGGTATCTTATTTTACAGTTTGTCGCAGGTGGCGTCCATACACAGTTTACTGATGTCAGGTGATCCGTGGTGATGTCAAATTTGCGCCCTTTTGTCCCATCTTTAACTAGGGACACGTGAATGTAACCTCTCTCCTGAAAACCGTGTTTTCCGAGCAGCACCTGAAGGCAGCATGCTGCTACCGCACCGCCTCAGGTTTTCTCCGCACTCAGAGCTCCACTGCGACCGGGAGGAGACCAGCCAGACCCGGATCCGGAGCGTGAAGGTCTCCGCTGTGTGTGGACCTGTGACTGGACTGGAACATGTTGTCCCGAACTGGTTGAGCCATACCTGAAACCAGCAGAAACGTCCAGTGTGATGCAGCTGTGTGATGGGAGAATCGGCCGAGCAGGATGGGCAACAAGCAGACAACCTTCACCGATGAGCAGCTGGAGGCGTATCAGGTGATGATGTGCACCGTGGACGCTTTCACACCGTGCCGACACGGGTTTATCCCGCAAATAGAAGCACAGTTATCAGACTAGAACCGGGATAAGGAACAGGGGCGTGTTTCAGAGAGACAGCATCTTTATAATGTGCTTCCCGTTACTGGTCAGCAGAACAGAACAGAGTAGAAGAGAATAGAAAGGGCAGGGTGTCTCTCCTGTTGCTGATTGGCTGAGCTCCAGCCTCCTCTGCATCCTGCTGGATGTGATGCTGTGAAAGCAGATCCTCCCTGAGGATCAGCAGCTCACTGGCCCCACCTCAACAACATCTGTTTGTCTGTTTGTTCACAGGACTGCACCTTCTTCACCTGCAAAGAGATCCTGCGGTGAGTGACCCGCATGATTTCCACAGCGCTTTATGTCTCTAGCATTGGTTTAATAGGTATTGGTTCATTTATGTTTTAAAAACAAAAACAAACAAACAAAACAACAGCAACAATAAAAGCCCTTCTTTCCAGTAATACTTGTCAAGCTAAAAAAAAGTGATGAAGCAGACTTATGAAAATATATGTCTTATGAACATATTAAAGGGGAGTTCACAGTTTTTTCAGCTCAAAACACTATTTCTATGCTCACATGAACATGTAGACAGGTTGTGTGTTCATTCTGAACTGACACCAAACATGCCTGGAAATAATGCACCTGTTCTTCAACCTGTTTGAGTACAGCCACAACCCTGCTGGGCATTTCTCCACAGCAGCACATTCACTGGACTAAAGCTTCTTGTGGTGAAAATTGCGTTTGGACTTGTGTCTTTGTCACAGACAACTGAAAGGTGAACAGTGACTTTCCTGTTGTGTGTGCTGAGCTGCTGCAAAATGAAACCAGCTGCTGCAGTGATAAGGACCTTTGCACAGATAGAACCAGGAGACTCCGAGCTTTTTAAACAGTGTAGAGTTTGTCCGGTACAGACCACAGTGTATTTAACAGGTCCATCACTAGTGAGATTCCAGTGGAGATGATGGAAATCCACATTCTGTCCTGTGCAAGACTGTTTTCCAAAGTTTATCTGAAGGTTTAGTTTTACTTTTGTCACCAAAAACAAGAAAACAAACAGTTTTCTTCTTAACTTTCAGGGACAAATAAACACATATGGTGGTGCATTCACTTACTGAGATTCATGTGAAGTGCACTGGATGGTGACGCGTTCACTTACTGACTGACTACTGACATAGGCAAAGATTGTATTTTGGGTGGGCTGATACAAAAGTGGATGGGCCATCTTTTCCCACAAAACCTTCATGTTACCGCAGCAGGGCATAGCCTATTAAGGCTGCACAAAACAGTGTAAACAATAGCCTAACAATAAGTCTTTAATAGCCTAAAATCGATTTGCAACAACAACAGATGAGTTTTATGTTTCTTATGTTGCTACAACATGGTGCTTGTCAGAAGATCATCAGAAAGTCAAAGTCAGGACCAGCGTGACACCCTGCAGCTCATGTTCTGTTCTAACCATATATTTAACTCTTTTACTATGCAGTGGCAAATTAAACAAAAACATAATCAGCAGAGCATGTTAAGAAAGACAGGCATGTCTCTCATGCACTCGCACCATTGTTTGGTCAATACCATGGCCAACTCATGAAAAACCACAAAGCCCTGTTAAGAGAAACTCATGAAAAACCACAAAGCCCTGTTTTTATTAAGAGAACACACACACTCCATTTCTATTGCATTAACTACATATAGCCATAAAGGTTAGATTCTGTGCAAGACATGAGGACCCCACCAACAGGAGGCTAAGAGCATGGTTAGGTTTAGCTAGACACTATGACTGAGGTTCCTGTGTGAGGTTAATCCCTCTGAACATGCAGTTCTTTTTTAGTGTGTTGGGCCCTTATTTCCCTTTTCTCAAGGGTTTCAGTAGGCTCCCTTGTCTGCTTTTTGTACACCAAAGCACTTCCAATGCATGAGTGCCCATTATTCCCCAACAACATAGACATGAGCGCGAGCCTCATGCCAGGTGCACATGAAAAGCTATGCCCTGCCCACGCGGCACTTTCAGCATTTCTTGAAACCTTACTTTTATAGGTTTTCCACAGCATTTTGATGAAACATGACTGGGTGGGCCAGTGCTGCCCAAGCCCACTGCTGGCTATGCGCCAACAGCATACGTGTAAAGTTCATGGAACAGTGATGTGTTCACTTAGCGACATACGTGCTAAGTTCATGGTGTTCACTTAGCGACATACGTGCTGGAACAGTGATGTGTTCACTTAGCGACATACGTGCTAAGTTCATGGAACAGTGATGTGTTCACTTAGGGAAAAGAAGTGACTGTGAATGTTTAAACTGAATGAAGTGATTCATGATTTCCACCTCTCTCTTAGCCTTCTCTCTCTTCCTTGCTGTACCTGCCTCCTCATTTTGGTCCAGACTTGCTGAGTCTCTGGCTGGTTTTCTTTCTAAGCCATTAAAGTCCCGCCAGCCTCCCTGTTGGATGATTTACAGGCTGAGATTACTCCAGCTACAATTAAAATGCTGTTTGTCTGCGGGGTATTTGTTCCTGTGGTCGTTTGTTTAGCTAAAGTGTACAGCAGGTCAGGGTTATTTCTGCTGCTCTGCTCCCGCTGCTACAGATTTATCACAGGTATTAACGCTCATGGTTTTATAATGAACACTGGCTGTGAGAGCTGCTGCTTCAGGAAATTCTCTCCTCATTTATCAAAACCAATGTTTCACCTCACACTCATGGATGCATTAGATAATCAATCGATGATCATTAAATGAGATAGAAGCGTGGTATCTCCTTTGGCCAGTCTGTTGGAGTCTGAACTGGACCCCCTCCTTCTCAGAGGCCTACCTGACAGATGAAACACATGTTGACAGTGGTTGAGATAAGTGAGTGTGGACTAACATCATGTAGTAGACAGGCATTACCTCCACTGGTGTCACAGTTAACATCAGCCTTCAGCAGTGATCTTGTACTTCCTGTCACAGGTTAAATCTTGTGCTGTGTTGCAGGTTACATAGCCGATATCGTGAGCTGGCTCCACACTTAGTGCCGCTGGACTACACCAACAACCCCGACATCAAAGTCCCTCTGACGCTCATCATCACTATGCCCGAGCTGAAGGTAGACAGCTGATAATGAACCTGTGTCTAATATGTTATCATTCATGGCTGGTTCATTGTTGTCATCTTGTCAGCATTGCCAGATTGGGTGCTTTGTTGTTTTGGATGGTTTGTTATAATTTCACATAGTTTCCACCATGGATAGGTTAGTGCATGGGTCTAACAGGCACGGGCCCAGGGGCCCAAGGGGCTGGGGGGCCCTGGTGTTCACCTGAAAAATATTGGAGATATAGGAGACACAGAACATTTCTGTATAAGTATTTTATTTTTATTTTCCTAATGCGCATTCCCTTTTCTTGTTTGTGCATTCTTTTTCTTTTCTTGTTCTCTCAGCCGTAGCTTGTTTATTTGTCTACTCATTGCTTTACGGGGGGGTACTTTTACAGCAGAGGTGACAGGGCCAATTCTTTCTCACCACCTTCTCTATAATGCAGTACGGTATGAGAGGTGGGCTCTAGGCTCTGACTGGACTAGTTCTTGTCAGTTCAGTCTTTCAGCACTGTTGTTGCTGGATTGCTCAACAAACATGGCGCATCGCAGCACAGGCCTTAAGACAGCAGGAGGGGGGGAACCTTTGTCAGCATGCTTGGTGAATATGCCATGAATCTCTGTAGGAACAAGGGAAACAAGGGGAAGCTGAAACTAAGCACTCTCACTATGCCCCAGACAAATACAGAGGGTGGCACTCACCTCGAACCTAACGTTTTTACCACCGGTGAATTCTATGAAACATCTGGTGTACCCCACTCTCACCTGGTTGGTTTCACACAGGAGTGGACCAAAAGGGCAGTTTAGTTTTCTTGAGTTCAGTCTGACTGTCAGAGAGAGGGAGGAGTCTACATGCACAGCCGTGGGTCGAAGACACAGGCAACAGGGCCTGTGGAACAGCCCGGTCACAGGACAGGATCTATCATGGGAGCTGTGCTGGGTGCTCAGTCCATGGACCAACTGCGGGCGGGTGAAGAAGCTGGGGTGGGTCTGCTGCCATAACCAGTCAGAAAAGGAACCTACAGCCCATGTAGTGTCAGCAGGGGGGAGACAAAGAGAAAAGAAACAAGAGACATGCACACAGCAGGACATGTAACAGTCAGTCAAATGGTCCATAAAGCCGTTCAGTAGCAGTGTAGTGCTCCTATCTCCGTTCACATGAGGCCCATCTATAACAGAGACTGTACTGTGTTGTCTCAACAGGAGAACCCGTTCAGAGAGAGGATTGTGGAGACGTTCTCAGAAGACGGACAGGGGAACCTGAGCTTCAACGACTTTGTTGACATGTTTTCTGCTCTCTGTGAAACTTCACCCCGAGAGCTTAAGACCATATACGCCTTCAAAATCTACGGTAACGTGTTTGTCCTTAGACTCTGGCACATTTCTGTCAAATGTTTCTACTGATGTTCCTCATGTTATGGTTCGGCTCCAGACTTCAACAGGGACAACTTCATCTGCAAAGAGGACCTGCAGAAGACTCTGAACAAGCTGACCAAAGGAGAGCTGACTCCAGAGGAGGTCGCGCTGGTCTGTGACAAAGCCATCGAAGAGGCCGACCTCGACGGAGACAGCAAACTCTCCTTCTCCGACTTCGAGAACATGATCTCCAAGGCTCCGGACTTCCTGAGGTACCACAACACACTGTTTTTGTAAACTCTGCTGTGTTGACCAAGGTGTGGCATTGGTGCTGTTTTAGTTCCATGCTACAAAAATAAAAGTCTGAGATAAAGGCAGACTCTTCCAAGAGTAAAGTTGCAATACTGTGAGAATAAAGTCAGAGTATAGTCAGAATAAAAACTGAATATTTGGGGGAAAAAAGCTATTCTGAGTTCGCAACTTTACTCTTGAAATTATCCAGACTTAACCTTTATTTAATTTAATGACTTTTATTTCTGTAAGGTGGCACTAAAGCACCAGTGCAATTTTGCAGAATGGACAAAGATCAAAATTGTTGTCTGGTTGAAGTGTGGGACGTGGATTGTTGTGTAAAACACACCTGTCACCACGTGGAGCCACAGGAGAAGACTGAGACTGTAAAATACAGGGTTGATCTTGTCCATCATTTATGTCTTACATCTTCTGTTTTCCCTTGTTTTACTTAAGGTTTTATTCTTTAAGCGCTGCAGTTTTCTCTTCACTCTTTACTTGCACCTCATGAAGTTGGAGGTTGAGTTCAGGTAGTTAAGCCCTAGACATTTTTTGAGTTTCCACCCCCAAAACAAACGCAAATTCAAGCAGCAGCGGCTCCAGACTGTGAGGCCAAATGAACAGCCTTAGACTTTGTGGAGCAGAGACATGCGGGTGAACATAGTCAGACCCCGTCCCCATCATCAGGCAGAGTGAGAGCCGAGAAACTCCAGGAAACCTTCACGGTTTTACCTGAGCCTGATCCAGACTTGAAATGACAGTGAGAACATAAGGAGTTAGTGACAGTGATGTTGAACCGGGCAGCATGGTGGCGCGGTGGTTAGCGCTGTTGCCTCACAGCACGACGGGACCTTTCTGTGCAGAGTTTGCATGTTCTCCCCATGCTTGCGTGGGTTCTCTCCGGGTGCTCTGGCTTCCTCCCACTGTCCAAAGACATAGGTTGCAGCATAGGTTGACTGGCGTCTCTAAATTGCCTGTAGGAGTGATTGTATGTGTGAGTGGTTGTTAGTCTGCATGTTAGCCCTGCGATGGACTGGCGACCTGTCCAGGGTGTACCCCGCCTCTCACCTGCAGCTGGCTGGGATTGGCTCCAGCGCCCCGTGACCCCATTTGGGACTAAGCGGTGTAGAAAATGGATGGATGGATGGATGTTGTTGAACCTGCTCTAAACATTCTGACCTGTGGCTCTGCTACATCTGATGCAGTACACACATGAAGTACAACAGTGCAGTACTACCCAGTTCAGTCATTTGGTTTCTCTGGAGAGTCGCATGTGCCATGCTCGTTCACCTTTAGGTCACATTTTAAAACCAGCTCCAGCCTTGTCCCAGTACTGGGAGAGAGGATGTTGTTTTCTGGTCTGCCTGTGCACATGTGACAACAACACTTGCAGCTGAATCTTGCACAAAGCTGCAGCCCCAGAGTCGTCACTCAGACAAATAAAACCCACAAAAGCAGCAGTGCATCTTGAACAAACTGCTTTTAGTGCTGAAGATCCACCACAGTGCAGTTTCCTTCACCCGCTCAGTCCACAAAGAGCACGCCCAGAAACAAGACGCAGGAGAGGAGCAGGCCTGGATTTGTCCACTCGGTGAGTTCAGTCATAAATCCGCCTATCACAACAGACCGCCGCTCACAGAGTAGCAGGAAATGAGGCTCGTGGGCCTTGTTACAATGGCAAACAGGTGAGATAAAGCGTAATAAGACTGTGAGAGCTGATATAGACGAGCTGCAGAATATGAGCATCAGCTGATTCATTCACATCCTGGAGTCCTGGAGGAGAACCTCACCTCTTCTCAGCACCTCCTTCTTCATGTTAGGGCCTCTGTCGTCCTAAAGAATGAGACCTGGGGAGACATTACACTGAGTCTGTGACACACTACAGTACAGGTTTTTTTTATTTTAAATGTAATACTAGTTTAAACTGAGACTTTGCTGCAATAGATAAAAATGACGATGTTTGTTTTGTGTCTGCAGTAACTTCCACATACGAATATGAGACTTAAGAGTGGAGATCCTGCAGAGGAGAGATGTCTCACTTTGACTGTGTTTCCTGATCCAACCGCTCTTTTTTCCCCCCTCCCACACCTCCACCTGAACCCACCTCGACTCAGTGCCTGTCCTTTCTATTGCTGCTGAGGAGTCTTCTTCTGCAGCAGAATCTGAACCTGACTCGGAGTCTCGTCTGGACTCACAGAAGCACAGGCAAATCTTGCCAATTCTGAATCTTACAAATCAGACCGAGAAAACGTTGTTAGTGCATGAAGCCTTTGTCTTGAATTCATATTGACTGTTTGGAGGCGGACGACACGAGCGATATACCAAGATGGGGCTAATTTTTTTATTTGTAGTTTCCCTGCACTGGGTTTGATATGTCCAGTGGGGAATTTTGCTCTTCTGAGACACACTTGGAGATGCTAGGAGGAAACAGAACAGGGCTTTTCTGACTTTAGTGCTTTACAGAAAGGCCAGATCCACTGACTGGATTCTTTTTAAAAAGCACACTTTAAAGGGCAAAACAGTGAAGAGCTATGCAATCTTTCTTCATGAAGTGCATGTTGTAAGTTGCTTGTAGCCGTGGTTACTTTGTACATCTGGTGTAGTGAAACATTTTGGTGCATAATGACAATCATAGTAAACTGTAGTTCAGTTGATGGAAGGGCTCTCTGTCATCTCACCTGTAAAGTTTGGCTTTGATAAACTTTTTCCTGCCTCCAACAAACTTGATATAACAGCTTTCACTCATTCAAGACAAAATGTTTTCTGGCTAGAATCAAATAAAAGATTTTTCTGTTGCTCAGTGCTCCTGAAGCTTTTATCAGAGAAACGTGATTCAGACAAACTGCTGCTCGGCCTGCAGCTGACACAGAGCCAACACATCCTCCTGGTTCACTGCCACTGACTGTACTCAGACACCAACTCTGGAGATGCACTGGATACGCAACGAATATTAGTGACCATATTTTATAAAACTACATTACCTGATGTCTTATCAGCCTAGATGCTCTAATGAGATTCAAAACGAATTGACACCATAAACTGCCCTTTGCCCATCACATCCTGTTTCCTGAAGCTATGACATAAACTACGGATACCTGGTTAGGACAAACTGAACAAAACACAGCCTACAGTCTGAAGCTAGTGTTAGTTGGCTAATGAGTTAGTTTGTCTATTTAGTAGAACACTCTGGTGGCACAAAACAGTAACTTTACTCCCAAATTAAAATCAAAGGGCTGAGAGACACCACGTCCCGTCCCACTGTCCCTGGGTTTACCAGACATTAGAGGAAATCTGTGTGAATTCACCTTTAAAATGTTTCTGACCTATCATCCAATAGGCCTGTCATCCAATTCTCCATATCTCTATACACTTTTGTTTCCATCAACAGAAAACACACACAGGAAAAAGAAAATAATTTAATAAAATCTGTACAATTTGAAGTTTCTCAGACCAGTTTATTATCAAGTCACTGAACCAATTCAATTTTATTTGTATCGCACCAAATCACAATAAAAGTTGTCTCAGGTGTGCTGTCAGGGTGCGCTGCTGATACACAGGCAAGTCTTACAGTCATTGCTGTAAATGCATTTAAAGCCTTTCATTCTTTTTTTGGCAAAGTGACATGTTGAATTTAGGGCTTGTCTTCATATTGGGCCACTTCAGTATTGGATTAGGACTGTCACACTACACAGTGGTTTGGTGTAGTGTACAATATGTAGACTAAAGAAGGTTTAAATAGAAGGAAACTAATGGTCTGAGTATCATCATACTGCATTAAACTGAAAATAAAACCTATCATTACCTCAGCAGGTTCTGCTTTCAGGCCTCAGGCTGCTGTTCAGAGGTTTGCTGAGTTCAGGTGGAGGCTTGACACTGCTGCACTGAAGCACTATCAGGACATCCATCATGATTATTTGACCAGCCAACTGTGGTGAGAGCGCTGCGTTCTTGCTGCCACAGCACACCGGCCTTCATCACCACTCCTGATTTTTACATTCAGAATGATGGGAGGAAAGATGGAGCTCAGCACTAACCTGGCATTTACAGGTACAGCACACCTGGCTCCACAGCAAACAGTGAGCTCAGCTTGGTTCTGACTAAATGTGAACTAATGCAGGAACATGCAACATGCTAGTCCTACATCAGGTGGAATATGTAAGGTATTAACACTTGATTTTCACACAGGGCTGTTCTGCAACAGGGGCTTTCAGAAATGTATCAGGGCAAAGATACCTTGTTAGGGGAACGGGACAGATGAGCGTAGGTGTTAACAGGAAGTTGGCTGTAAACACACACAGCTCTGATGTACTTTGTTTCACAAGTAGTGCAGACTGAGGGTCTGATGGGTGTGTGAGCAGCTGCTGCCTGTTAGAGTGCTTCTGTCGCCCAAACACACTTCTCATATTTCCATCACTTCAGGCGGATCGATGCTGGATCATCACTCCGCAGTTTCCTCAGCTTCAGTTACACATGAATCTTATCTCAGCACTTTGTATTTATATAAAGACATACAGGAAGTCAGACACTGTGCCACAGGAATAACCACCACCAGCCTGAGCTTCACATCAACAACCCTCTGCTTATGTCTAACCAGCACAGGCTGCTGTCAGCTGGCATTTAAATATACAAGGTTTCATCTGTTTGTCCAACCAACAGGCAGCGATCACATCAAATGGTCCAATCACAGGACCCCACCTGCAGCTCATCATACACACACACACACACACACACACACACACACACACACACAGGAGCAAGATGCAACCACACGTACATAAAACAAACAGTAAAAATACAGTACCTGCTCCAGTAAAAGAGAAGCAAGTCTTCAGCAGCAGAGCATGTGCCACAAGTTTGGTATTGCAATTAAATCATGCAAATAACTAAATATGTATACCTTTATAAATAAGAATGGATAAAAATAATATTGCTTCTGACGTAATTCATTTTGAAAAGGTTAGAATAAAAAGTGAGAACATTCTTTGTGATGGTGTTTGTGTGTGTAAACTTTAAATTAAAAATAGAAATGAAAGAAAACTACACTGATGTCAAAATATTTTTGTCTCATATATATATGTAAATATTAAATATTTAAATATTTAATATGCACATGTGTGTTTCTTTTCCCCTTCTGTATGTGCTCTTATCTTGTGGCTGATTCTTGTTGTTTGGTAAACGGTTTGTATAAAAAATTTAATGTTACATGAAAAGAAACAGGACCTCACCTGTCTCAGGTAACTGACTTGTTGTGTTACACTGACATCTGGTGGTGAGAGGCAGGACTGTCAGTCTATCAGTCAGTCAGTCAGTGAAAAAACAAGGACAAACTGATGATTGTCCCAGGAAAAATTCCACAGAGCTATCATGTGTTTCAAATGATTTAAAGAGTTAAACACAATATTAAGGTTAATAAATGTAGAGTTCACCAGTAGTAAATCTAACCAAGTAAAATGTCCATCATCATCCACCCAGTATTTTAAAGTTTGGACAGTAAAGGCTGAACTCTGTGTCCTGACTCCAGGTTTCACCCTTTCATCTTGTTCCCAAATATGCAGCTTTCTCTGTTTTCCCATCAACACTGTGATCACTGTGAGATAGTGATCTGTCTCTGGGCCTCACTGCTGCTAAACAATGAGCTTTTTCTAATCCACACACATCACATCACTGTACTGTAAATAGTGGTGGAAAGTAACTAAGTACACTTACTCACATACTGCACTTCAGTACAGTTCTGAGGTATCTGTACTTTACCTGAGTATTTCCATGTCCTGCTACTTAATACTGTGACTCCACTCCATGTCAGAGACAAACCGTGTACTTTTTACTGCACTACATGTATCTGATAACTTCAGCTCCTTTCCAGAATCAGATGAATCGAACAAAACCAGTAGAACCATCAGACTCTACGCTGGTACTTCTAATATCAATTTGATGCTAATAATTTTGTATGTTTACTGAAGTAACATTTTCAATGCAGGACTTTTTACTTGTAACAGAGTATTTTTACATTGTGGTATTTCAATTTTTACTTTTACTGAAGTAACGATCTGAGTACTTCCACCACCGACTATAGGTCAATATGTTGTACTGGACATGTGTGCAAAGGAAATTATTACAGCCTGTTTAACAAATGTTCCCTTCACGTTTACATTTTCAGTTGATTAATACAAAATCCTGTGACGGTCCAACCCCATAAAACCTTCCCGGTAGTTTGTGAGGAAGACCTGCAGACACAACTCAGGGTTGAAAAACTCCACCAACCCCTCTGTATCTTTAGGTAAGCGATATAATCCAGGTAATTGTCCTGAAGAGAGCAGAACTAAAGATAATTATCGGCCAAACATAACAGACAGTAAACCTTTAGGTATTTAGTTTCAAGGTTCGTTGTTCTTTTTTTTATATAGCTATGACATAATATTTATTATAACTGCTTATTGGATTAGTGCATTATAATGCTTGTAGCAGTTAGGCCATACAATCATTATGATTTTGTTGGTTTACTGTTATTTTTCGTGTTTGAATTTTCCTAACTGAAGAAACGTTCTTACTTGTGTAGTATTTGGATTTTGTCCTAAATAACTTCTGACTGAATGAATGAATGTAAGCCTCTGAGCAGCAGCTGTCACTGTCTGACCAGGGTGAGCTGTTGAGACTGTCCGAACAAATCCCGTGTGCTTTTCACCACGTTGCACAGACACTGCAGAGACTGCCACTAGTTTGGTTTCCCAGCAGACGACGATATTCCTAATGCACAGAGACAAAGGGTACAGTCTAATACACCGCTGTCTGTTTCTGCCTCCTTCTGTGCTTCCGGTGTCAAACAGGCCGTCGGACGAGTCTTCAGTTCAAAATGAAGGAGGTTTTGTCTCCCCGCACCTCTTCTACGGCTTTAATGAAAACAAGAACTTAATTGATACTGTAACTTGATGATTTTTCACCCGTCAATGTGTCTATACGGTTCCATGGTGTAATGGTTAGCACTCTGGACTCTGAATCCAGCGATCCGAGTTCAAATCTCGGTGGAACCTGCTTTTCACTATCTGCACGGCTAAACCGTGGGGAGG